AAATCAAATTTATTTCTTTTCATTCTTTGATTTGACACTACAGTGAGAGTGAGACAGGATCTAAAGGCCCCTGTTATGAACATTTCTGAGGCTGAATGAATCCTGAGTTCATTCAGCTTTTTGATGGCCTAGAAGGTTGGAATGCTCACCTTGCAGATATGGGTGAGACCTGCGGATTTCACTGAGGTAGGCGGTGGTGCAGAGGTAGATTGGGGAGCCCCAACCACCCCCCTTACCTGTGAGCTGGGCTCTGCTCCCCGGGGAACACCCAGGCCAGCAACACCAGCCCCTTGGGAACGAGTAAGTCCAAGGGAAGGTGGGTAGACGAATTACGGACCCGCCCCTATGCTGACACAGTAGGAGAAAGCTCTGCCCCAGCCTGCAGCACGGGCCTGGAGCCCCGGGATCCTCCAGCGGGAGCAGGCGCAGAGGCCTGTATGGCTGCGGAGGTCCACAGCCACTCCTGGGTTTGGTGTTCGCAGGATTTCTCTGCTGCTCAAAAGTTTCAGGCATGCCTGGCCCGATGAGCCTCGGAGGGTGTCCCGGGCTCATTTGACAGCTGTTAACATCTGCCTCCTTCTGGGCCTGGCTGGGTAGAGTATTTCAACGGCACACCGTAATCCAGCAACTTCAGTTTTCAGTCTTTAACTGTGGTCCACTGCCCAGATAAATGTGGATCGTGAAGGGAACAGTACAGGACCCTGAGAGAGACTCCTCCCCTGAGCTGCTCAGGCCCTCGAAGCTGATCAGGGAGCGCCTGTACTGCAGAAGCTCGCTTCCTCAGCAGGGAGCCTGCTCTAGTGCACACACTGCGCAGCTGCACAGGGCCCCCCCAAGCCCCGCCATTCTCTCTGGTGTCCCCACCCGCCCCACCCACGCTCAGCGCTACCAGCAGATGCTGCTCAATTCCATCCAGCTGTCTCTAGAGTGGCAGCCCTCCATCCACTCCACACGCCTCTGCTCCAAGGGGGCCCCTGCTGCTCTTTCGGCCTCCTCTCCTACCCCTTGTGGTCCCAAGTCCCAAGCTTCTACCAAAGGAAGCTCCCAACTAAGCCCAGACTCACCAGCTCCTTCCCTCCAGTGTTTCCCTGTGCAGACCCTTCCTGTGGGCTGAAAGCTCTTGAGGAAAGGTCTTGCCCATGCCTTCCTCCCCTTTGCTCTGTTCTCTCTCTCTCTCTCTCTCTCTCTCTCTCTCTCTCT